CTCTTCTGAATCCAGCTTGCACCTCTGGAAGTTCTCTGTCAATATACTGTTGCAACCATTTTTGAATTATCTTCAGTAAGATCTTACTTGCGTGTGACATTAATGATATTGTTCTATAATTTCCACATTCTGTGGAATTACCCATTTGGAATGGGTACAAATATGGATCTCTTCCAGTCAGTTGGCCAGGTAGCTGTCTTCCAAATCTCTTCACATAACCGAGTGAGTGCTACCAGTGGGGCATCTGTTTGCTGAAATATCTCAATAGGTATTTCATCAATTCCTGGAGTATGTTCTTCACCAATTCCTTCACTGCAGCTTTGACTTCCTCCTTCAGTACCATTGGTTCTTGATCATATGCCACCTCCCGGTAGATGAAGATCTACCAGTTCTTTTTGGTACAGTGACTCTGAGTATTCCTTCCATCTTCTTTTGATGTTTCCTGCATCATTCAATATTTTGCCCATAAAGTCTTTCAGTATTGCAACTTGAGGCTTAAATAGTTTCCTCAGTTCTTTCAGCTTGAGAAATGCCGAGCATGTTCTTACCTTTTGGTTTTCTAACTCCAAGTCTTTGCACATTTCATTATAGTAATTGGCTTTGTTTGCTCGAGCTGCTCTTTCAAATCTTCTGTTCAGCTCTTTTATCTTATCAATTCTTCCATTTGCTTCAGCTACTCTCCACTCAAGGGTAAGTTTCAGAGCCTCTTCTGTCCTCCATTTTGGTCTTCTTTTCTCATCTTTTTAGTGACCTCTTGCTTTCTTCATGGATGATGTTCTTGATGTCATCCCACAATTCTTCTGGTTTGCGGTCACTGGTGTTCAGTGTATCAAATCTATTCTTTAGATGGTCTTTAAATTCAGGAGGGATATACTCAAGATCATATGTTGGCTCTTGTGGATTTGTTTTAATTGTCTTTAACTTCAAATTGAACTCGCATATGACCAATTGATGGTCTGTTGCACCATCAGCTCCGGGCCTGGTTTTGGCTGAAGATATTGAGCTTTTCCATCACCTCTTGCCACAGATGTAGTCAATCTGATTCCTGTGTGTTCCACCTGGCAAAGTCCATGTATTCAGTCGCTGTTTGTGTTGTTGAAAAAAGGTATTTATAATGAGTAAGTCATTGGTCTTGCAAAATTATATCATGCAATTTCCAGCATTATTTCTGTCACCATGGCCAAATTTTCCAACTACTAGTGATTCTTCCTTGTCTCCAACTTTTGCATTCCAGTCACCCATGATAATTAACATATCCTGATTGCATGTTCGGTCAATTTCAGACTGCAGAAGTTGATAAAAATCTTCAATTTCCTCATCTTTGGTTTTGGTGGTTGGTGCATAAATTTGAATCATAGTCGTATTAATGGGTCTTCCTTGTAGGAGTATGGATATTATCCTATCACTGACAGCATTGTACTTCAGGACAGATCTTGAAACATTCTTTGTGATGATGAATGCCACACCATTCCTCTTCAAATTGTCATTCCCAGCATAGTAGATCATATGGTTATCTGATTCAAAATGGCCAAAACCAATCCATTTCAGCTCACTAATGACTAGAAACTCTGGTAGTATAGTGCCTAAGGCACTTGACAGCTAACCAGAAGGCTGGCGGTTCAAACCCACCAGCCACTCCTTTGAAGGAAGGTTGGGCAATCTACTTCCGTAGTGATACCGCCTCGGAAACCCAAGGAGGTGTCCCAATGAGTCACGTCCAACTCGACGGCACATAACACCACCACCACCTAGGATATCAATCTTTATGCATTCCTTTTCATTTCTGACAATTTCCAATTTTCCTAGATTCATACTTCATACAATCCATGTTCCGATTATTAATAGATGTTTGTAGCTTTCTGAGTCATGCCACATCAGCAAATGGAACTCTCAAAAACTTTACCTTATCCATATCAGTAAGGTTCTACTCTGATGATGTCGCTCTTTCCCAGTTGTATTATGAGACCCTTCTACCCTAAGGGGCTCATCATCCTGCTCTGTATTGGACAAGATTTCTGCGCTACTCATAAAGTTGCACAGTAATGTATCAGACAGTCTTTCTCTATTTCTTCTATTCATAAGGTTTTCCCTGGCTAATTCTTTGAGAAGTGGATGGCCTCTTCCTTCTTTCTACTCTGTCTCAGTCTGCAAGCCGCATTGAAACCTGTGTGCCATGTGCACCCTACTGGGTTTGATACACCAGTGGCACAGCCTCAAGCCTCACGGCAATATGCCACCACAGTAGGACAAACCGACAGACAAGTTTGTCTCCCTTAGCTATTTGAAAACTCTCCAACCTCCCCTTACCTGGATCCCTGCCACTGCCTCCTCACTCTGTCCCAGTCCCCCTGGCCTTTTTCTCTCCTTTCCCCAATTTTCCCACCTTGGCGCTTATGGGATGTGGCCTGGGTTCCCTCCCTTTACCTGGATCCCTGCCTCTGACTCCTCACTCTGTCTGGTCCCCCTGGCCTTTTTCTGTCCTTTCCTGTTTTTAGGATAACATCCCTTTAATTCACAGCCACAATCAAAATCAGATACTCTAACAACAATGAAACACTTCTGATTAAAAACAGTTATAAAAAAAATGCTAAAACTGGAAATATATTCAAATTGAAATGTGTAACAAAGATGTTTTGAAATCATATTTTTAAACAGACATACTTGTCCCAACCAAGCATTCCTAGCTCTTGAATAAGGTGTGAGTAGAACTGGGGAGGAGGAGGTGATGCATGTAGCTCTTGTTTATTCTTTAAAGCAACTTCCTGTTAAAGAAAAAAAAAAAATCAGCTGTGGAGTGCTTGACAATGTATTTTTAACACCTGATTACAGAATACAGTTTCACAATGTTCTTTATACTTAACTAAAGTCCCAACTATTTTTATAAAAAATGTAAATGGCTCAATACCCTTTTCCTGAAAAAGTTAAAGGACTGCACTGAAAGTCATGCAAAATATCACTTATCACCCTATGAAAAGAACTGAAGATTTTAATATTTTCGTATTCTCCTAGACTACTATGCTTACTGGTAATGAAAAAAGTTAATTAAAAAAAAACAAAAACAAAAAACCTTCATTCTCAAGGCCTTTCTTCCTTTCTACCCCTGTGGGTATGATGTTTTGATATAAAAAAACATATGCGCAAAGCCTGAACTCAAAGTACATTGCCTAGACTAATATATTTATATGCCATTATGAACCACATTCTTCCAAATCAAAATTAATCATTATAATAATAAACATTTCTCTCTGATAATTTCTCTCATTCCCTTAAACTCTCTATTACTCCTCCCTTGTTGTTGCCACTAGGTGTCTTCGAGTATATTTCAACTCATAGCAACCCCATGTGACAATGTGGAACTGCTTCACAGAGTTTTCTATGCTGTAATCTTTATGGAAACAGACTGCCAGGTCTTTTTCCTGCAGAGCCAGTGGGTGGGTCTGAACCATGATCCTTTAAATTAGTAGTTGAGTGCTTAACTGTTGTACCACGAGAGCTCATTACTACTCTTTTAATTAGGTCTAAGTATTCTGCCATTCATCTGGCTAGATTCCAGTCCCTTTTCCTGCTAGGGTAACCTATGACCTCATTAAGATGGTTTATGTTCCTCCAACCAAAACCAAAATTTACATATTTTTAAAAGCAATACAAACATCACTAGAATTACTGAGGTGGAAAACTAGCAATTACTTTGAAATTGCTAACTAGACAAATGTCTTATTTAGAAAATAAAAATAAATGTATCCAAAAATTACTTAGATGCTCATATGGTCTGGAATATCAAAAGGTGGTATAAAAAGTAAAGGAATAAACTCAAAAGAGAAAGCAACCCAAGAAATAACAAAACCAGATGGGAGCAACTCTAAAAATTACAAATGTTTCTGGAAAATATAGCTCTAATGAAAGGTTTAACTCTTTTTCATTCCTTTAAGTATGAGGTTAATTTATTAGGAGTCCTTAGAGTTTTTTGTTTGTTTGTTTTGTGTTTTTCACTAAGGATAAGATACTATTAAATTGAGGTAACACTAGAAAAAAGAGATTTTACAAAACAGCATTTAAAAATCAAGGCTATTAACTACTAATCTAGTTCTAAATTGCTCTAGGATAAAATGAATTGTGAAAGCAGGTTTGTAAAACCCAGAACACCTACATATGGATTTAAAAGACTGTAAGCTTATAGAAGGCAAGTAATAGACTGCATTTTTTAAAACCTATAGAAAATATCTGTTTTATTTATAAATAGGCTGATGGTCTATAAAAATAAATTTTGTACTATTAAGTTTAGTAGTTACTTATAAAATATTTATGGTCAATATGGTTCCTGTATATGCACATGCAAAAGTGACACACTATTTCATTTGATATTACTATTTTTATTCAGAAATTTCAATCACTGCTAAGCCACAAATACTGAAGATTTAAAGAGACCTAGATCTTTTTTTTTTTTTCATCCAAGTTAATGACATGTGTGAACTCTGCCTTCTACCTTAAGTTAGACAAGTTACTACTAGTCTAGAATTATCACAGGAACTAGGGCAAAGGCAGAGAAGCAACACATTCTTCGTGGAGTACAAAACAAGGTAACGGTGCATAGTAGAAGCAGCACAGGCTCTACATAGGGGTTTTAAATCCTCACTTTAACATACACTGGTCTTCAGGCCTTAGGCCTGAAAAAAAATTGAAATAAAATAAACTACCCTCACAATGTTCTTTTGAAATATAGATAACTGTTCATTTATTGAATATTTACTGAACTTGTGTATATTCAGTAAGCTCTCTGGGTGATTTGTGAAATATCCTGAATAAATTCAGTAACTACTGATTCCATTTGGACATCCTTCCCAATAACTTCATTTACAATATTATAATAAGCCTATTGCTAATAACATTCAACAAATAAAGTAATACTTCTGACATTTTTAAGTACAGTATATTAATTTAGCATACACAATCACCAACTCTGCTCATATTTTCATTAGTAAAGCTAAATTACAGAATCTCAATTTTACTCTGAAAAAATAACAAATGCACTAAATAGAATATTGTGTATCACAAGTCAATCTCAATATTTTATTTTAAAACAATTTCTCTTTCAAATTAAATGACAAACAGCTGTGACATACAACCAAAGTTAGTTACAGTGATAAGAGTTTAATATACTTTACTCTGGTTTTCATAAATCCTCATATAAGAATAACTTATTAATTACAATACAAAGATGAAATTTCCAAAGTTTTTTCCAGTGTCACAGGTAAGTGAACAAAAGTATGCTTTATATCTTCACCTCAACTTTCTTAAGGTTATTATATTATGATTCTTTGATGAAATCTGTAATTAATTTTGATCATTATTATTGTTGTTGTTGTTGTTATGTGCCGTCGAGTCGGACCCGACTCATAGCGACCCCTCCTTCGGTTGCCGAGGCAGTATCACTACGGAAGTAGACCGCCCCATCTTCCTTCTGAGGAGTGGCTGGTGGGTTTGAACCACCAGCCTTCCGGTTAGCAGTCAAGTGCCTTAGGCACTATGCTACCAGAGCTCCCTTGATCATTATTAGTGTTGCATAAATCCATGCTTCAAAAATTAAACATTAGACATCACTTTTAAACTGTTTATTTTGGATTGCAAACATTTTATCAAAGCCCTAGCTCAGAGGGATAAAATAAAGAACTCAGAACAAAACCTAACAATTAATCCTCAATATATGGTAGTTACTGCTAAGAACAAACAGGTCTCAAAAACCATAAAGAAATATCAAACTGTTTTCAGTTGTCAGTACCAATACTGGTACTGCTATTTTTATATAAATAAATATATACGTAGATAAAGCAGATAAATCATTATATTAACATCCTTAGAAACCAAGACTTTCAGAATAAATGATATACAAGCATAAAAATCAAAATAAAAACCCTACAATGTTGACTTTGAATCAGAAATATCAATATAAACTCACAATTAACTATTTTTTTCCTAAAAAGTATTTTTCCCAAATTTTACCCACTGAAAAGATCTGAAAGCAATAGCAACCAGCATTCTAATTCCCAAACTGTGGCATCCAAACACCACTTCTCACAATGAAACCATGACCATGTGGAGAAATGCCTGACTAAGGATCTGGGACAGGGTGAACAGGTAAGATTAGGTCAACAGGTGCCAGAAAGCAAAGAAGCTTATGTTGTGTTAAAAGAAATCAGAAGCTAACATGAAGGGGCTTATGACCAAAAATGGTGCAACATAAGTATAAAAAAATAATGACTACAATGGACTAAAATTAGTATATAAACCCCATGAGTTCATAATTATACTAACAAATATACATCATTAGTCTCCTTTGGCAGTTATTACGTACCAACTTATTATTCTAAACAATGATTTTTTTTAAAAAAAAGAGGGAAAGAAATAAGCATTTATTCCATCTGTCCAGTAAGAATGTACCTTAAGCTAACAAAACAACTGATGGGAAAGTTCTCTATATAGAAGAGTCTCAGCAAATGAATGCAGAAGAGATGATGGAATTATTTAGATCACCATATGGTAACTCCTAATGAAATGCTGGATGTAGGTAATGATCATCACTGGATGCTAAAACCATTAGGTGATAGATTAATGGGGTTTAGATGGATCTAAAGGAACTCTGGTAGTGTAGAGGATAAGGTATTTAACTGTCACCCAGAACATCACTGGTTCAAACCCATCAGCTGCTCTATAGAAGGAAGACTGAGCGATCTACTTCTGTAAAGAAGTACGGCCTTGGAAACCCAATGGGGGTTGCTGTGAGTCAGAAACCATTCAATGGCAGTGAGTTTGTTTTGTTTTTTTTTTAAGATGGATCTAAATCCACTGGTCAATTTTGACATTACTGAAACCAGACATACCAGACATCAGTCTCCTGATGTAATACAACAGGAAGAAGACAGCAACAAATATTCTTAACAGAACACACGAATCAAATGAATAATCATCTGTAGATGATTACAATGAATAATATAGGTAGAAGAACATTTTAAAAGATACCACAATGATGCAATAAAACAAATCCAGAAGGTGTGAATACTATAGAATACATAATCTGTTTATTCAGCAAAAGATGGCATGGAGAAAAAAAGGGTGGTGGAAGAGGAGATGCTGTTATACTCTAAGACTTAAAATGTGTATCGACTAAATATAAAGTGTAGACCTTGTCTGGATATTGATTCAAAGCATCTATAAGGAAATAGTGTTAATTTTGTTGGAGTGATGACATTATATTTAAAAACAGAGAAAAAAGCACATAGGTGTTAGAGATATATACTGACATATTTATGGAGGAAGGGTACAATGTCCAGGATTTCCTTTAATCCTTTCCCCTAAAACAGTAGGGAAGAAAATATGATTGGTAAAATGTTGATGTTAAGTAAGGGGCCAATGAGTATTCACTGTACTCTTTCCTCTTCTTTTTTTTGTTTACGTGGAAAATATGCATAATAAAAAGGCTTCTTTTTTAAAAGGACAAAATGTCTATAGGATAAACTAAATAATTAAGTACTTTATACATAATTGATTATGTATAATCATAATTGATTATGAATAATCAAATACCATATGTCATGAAACTTAATAAATTTTTCTGAAATCTGAAGCTATATACAAAATTATTTATATAATGTATCTTTAAGTGTGACTACTTAATCTCTCTTTAGATGTTAAATACTTTGACAGGCCAGGAATACACTTAATTTCTTCACCACCTGCCCAACATTAGTGCCAAATGTACCCAAGGTGATACAATCAAAATGGTTCTACCAACCACTCTGTTTCTCATGCAGTTCAAGTCAAGAACCATCCACATTTATGCACACAGTAAAACAAAACATTAAATGACTAAGAGTTGAGAAGATTTAGTTTTAAAAGGAATCACAGAAACAATTGATACTTAAAGAATATAACAGTATCAGAAAACTAATTCTTACCAAAACCATCTTCAATTCCATCATAAAGCTCATTAGATCAGTAGAGTGTTGCATTCTCTAGATCAAAACAACATTTCCAATTAATTTCATTTGTTCAAAGAATATTTCATCTACCAAATTGAAATAAGATATATTTGACTTACCAATTTCATTGTGAGAGCCTTCAATTTATTTTAGTGAGAGATACTGAATTGTATAAAAATACCAGTTACAACCCCCCATACCCACCAGCCACTTCTCGGAAGGAAGGTTGGGCAATCCTACTTCCATAGTGATACCGCCTCAGAAACCCAAGGAGGGGTTGCTATGAGTCAGGGCCGACTCGACGGCAAATAACAACAACAACAACAACAACATACTCTTCTATTCATCAACACTGTTTACTGCCAAGTTTAGCAAATCTAGCCAATCATATCATTATTGAAAAAGGAAAGAAGGGAGAGAGAATAAAAGAAGAAAGGAAGGGAATAAGAGTGGGAAGAGGATAAAATTTAAAAATCACAATGAACAATACTAAAAGCAGAGTACATAAATGGAAGAATATGCCATGCTCATAAACAGGAAGACAAAACACTAGGAAATTTCAATAGTACTCAAGCAATCTATAGATTCAATGCAATCCCAATCTAAATTCTAACAATATTCTTTAAAGACATGAAATTCCATCATGTCTTTAAAGACATGTAAAAACAACTGCCTATTTTATTTATTTTAAAGGAAAGAGCTCGGATAACTAAAGCACTATTGAAGAAGACAAAGCAGGAGGTCTCACATGCCCCAATCTTAAAACCTACTATATAGCCACAGTAGTCAAAACAGCCTGGTATTATATAATACACACATAGACCATTGTAACAGAACTGAGAATCCAGAAACAGATCCACACACCTAAGGAAAGCTGATCTTTGACAAGAGGCTGAAACTCATTCAATGAAGAAGAGACTGTCTCTTTAATAAATGGTGCTGGTAAAACTGGACACCCATTTACAGAAAAATGAAACAAGATCCTATCTCACACCATACACAAAAATGAACACAGGTGGATGAAAGATCTCTATCTTAAACCCAAAACTACAAGTTCATCAAACATAAAAATACAGAAGCAAACGCAGGGCCCTAATTTATGGCATAAATAAACTATCAAGTATAATCCAAAATGCACAAACAGTAGAAAAGAAACTAGATGACTGGACCTTCTAAAAATTAAATTCTTATGTGTATCAAAGGACTTCTCCAAAAGAGTGAAAAGAGAACCTATAGAATGAGAAAAAATATTTGGCAATGACATATCCAGCAAAGGACTTATTGCTAAAATTTATAGAGAACCTCAACACCTCAACATCAGAAAGACAAACAACCCAACCAAAAATGGGCAAAGGACATGAATAGACACTTCATCAAAGAAGATATTCAGGCAGCCAACAAACACACAAAGAAATGTTCACAACCATTAGCCCTAGAGAGGATACAAATCAAAAGAAACAATAAGATACCATCTCACCCCAGCAACAACAGCAAAGTTCAACAGGACAGAAAATAACAAATGCTGGTGAGGGTGTGGGGAGATTGGGATTCTCATACACCACTGGTGGAACTATAAAACGTTACAACCACTGTGGAAAACAGTATGGCACTTCCTTAAAAAACTGGAAATAGAAATACTATTTGATCCAGCAATTCTACTATTAGGAAAATATCCTAAAGAAGTGAGATCCAGAACATGAATAGATACATGTACACCCATGTTCACTGCACTACTATTTACAATAGCAAAGAGATGGAAACAACCTAAGAGCCCCATCAAGAGATGAATGGATAACCCAACTATGGTACATACACACAATGGAATACTACGCAACATTAAAGAATAACGAAGAATATGAACACCTCATAATGTGGATGAACTTGGAGGACATATGCTGAAAGAAATGAGTCAATCATATAAGGACAAATATTATAAGAGTCAATTATTATAAAAAGAAAGGAAAAGTTTACACAGGGAAGGAAATTTCCTTTGTTGGTTACTAGACATGGAAGGAGGAGCTCTGGTAGTGTAGTGCCTTAGGCATTTGACTGCTAACCAGAAGGCGGGCGGTTCAAACCAACCAGCCACTCCTCGGAAGGAAGATGGGGCAATCTACTTGTGTAGTGATACTGCCTTGGAAACCCAAGGAAGGGTCGCTATGAGTCGGGTCTGACTCGACGGCACCTAACAACAACAAGAAGACATGGAAGGGGGGAGGAAGGGAGAGAAAATAGGGTAATAAAGAGACAAGTTTGATATGGGTGAAGGGAGAAGCAATATAACAAAAGTGTGTGACTAGCACCATATCACTAAGGAAAAGGAAGACATAGAGAGGTGCATAACAGGTACAGTAAAGACAAATACTACTGCATACACAACACTGCATTATCAGTAACAGCAAACACTAATCTATAGGTAGACATACAGTTAGGCAGGCAAGAAGATCAGGTATGGAAAGGTGAATGGGAATATACCCATGACCATGGGAGCTCTGGTGGCGTAGTACCTAAGGCATTTGTCACTGCTAACCAGAAGACTGGTGGTTCAAACCCACGAGCCACTCCTCGGAAGAAAGACTGGGCAATCTACTTCTGTAGAGATACAGCCTAGGAAATCCAACGAGGAGTAGCCATGAGTCAAGATCAATTTGACAGCAGTTGAGCTTGTTTTTGTTGGGTTTTTTTATTTTTTTAAATACATTAGTTTGCCAGATGATATTCCTAAATATGTATTTGTATGTGCTATAAAAACGTCCACATGCAATTTAAACATAACAGGAGGCAAAGTTAGGATAACTTCTTAGTCACAACTAAGCACCTTGAGGGGGTGAGTTACTGGGCCTGTAGGCTGGTGACCATGGTCATGGGGGATATCAAGCTCAACTGGCACAGTGGGGTGTATAAACATACTGTTATACACCTAACTTCAATGAGTAGCGACTGGGGACTTAAAAGCCTATGAGCGACCATCTAAGAGGCAACTATCGTTCTCTCCTCATCTGGAGCAAAGAAGACTAAAGAAAATCAAAGATGCATGGAAACAGTCCAAAGGACTAACAGACCATAACAACCTCAGCCTATATGACCCTGAGACCAGAAAAACTAGATGATTGGAGCCTGGCTACCAATGTCAACCACTCAGAAAGGGATCAAAATTGGAGATTCTGATTAGAGTGGGACAAAAATGTGGAACAAAACTCAAAATCATAATAAAGAACAGACTGGTGGAACCCCTGAAACTATGGCCCCAAGTCATCTTTCAGGCCTGGAACTGGAGTCACTGCAGTGGCTCAACTCTCAGCCAAACAACAGACAGGCCTCCGAGCTGAACAACCACACCACAGAGATGCGTTCCTTAGAACAGTCAACCACGGGAGATTAAAAGGGCAGGATATGTACAGGGAGAAAGGTTGGGAAGCAGGAACGCATAGGCAAGAAGGACACAGGAAAGAGTAAGCACAGGGAAGAAATGAGAGGAGAGATTACACTGCAGGGAGTGTAACTAATGTCACAAAACAAAATGTGTAAGAACTGCTGATTGTAAAACGAATGTGCCTGTAAAATCTGACCTAAATCACAAAAAAAAAAAGTTAAAAAAAAAATCCGAAAAATGCATACAACTAAAAAATGTAGGGAGAACATTTAACAAATACTAATCAACAATTTTATTTTGATTCTTTCCTGGCCTTACAAAAATCTGTAATTATTTCTGTCCTTCTATTGTTGTTGTTGTATACTGTCAATTTCTACACAGAGCAACCTCTTCTGACGGAGTGGAACTGGCTCTACAGTTTTCTAGGCTGTAATATACAGGAACAGATCACCAGGACCTTCCCCCATGAAGCCACTGGGTGGGTTCCAATTTGCCAACCTTTCAGTTAGCAGCCAACACTTATTGTTGTGCCACCAGGGCACCTTCCTTTCATCATTAACCCATTTTAATTCAAAAGTCAGAACTGTTACAAGAAGATGTCAAAAAGTCAGTTACTTCTAAGGCAGAATGAATATTAAAGAGTTAGGTTCCATTTCTTTTCAAGTCTTCATTGTTGAAATAAAATAACCATAGAATAAAAGAACGCAATGAAAATCCTTAAGTTTTACATTGCTTTCTTTCTTTGATAGAACTCTAAATCATTTCTTGGCCTGAAATCAAAATACTATCATTTCTTACCTTTTTGTTACACACTGTACCATTACCACATGGTTCTGAACAAAGTCAACACGTGAATCTGTTTGTTTACTTTTAGATGAGCAAAATAAGATTCTAAAATATTTCAGCAATGCATGAAGATATATGATTCACATCTTAACACAATTTTGAATACATAACAGAACAAATGTTTGACCCTCCCTTCCTCTGTATGTTTTTCTCCTTAGTTTACTACAGACAAGTAATAAACTATCTCAAGGGTAAGCAAACTATAGCACACAGGACTAATCTAACCCAATTCCTGGTTTTGCAAATGAAGTTCTATTTGAACAAAGCCATGCCCATTGGTGTATGCATTATCTATGGCTGCTTTTGCACTACAAGGACAGAGCTGAGTAGTTGCAACAGACTCCCAAAGCAGGAAATATTTAATGTTCCAGTACAGAAAAAGTGTGCTGAACCATGGACCATTTTACTAAAGTTGAAAATGATACCAGGAAAGACTACTAATATTCACCTGGACTTTCTAATGCAACATAGATTAGAAGACTTACTATTGTTAAGATGTCAATATTACCCAAAACAATCTAAAGATACAACACACTCCTGATCAAAATTCCATCAGCTTTCCTTGAAGAAATGGAAAAACCAATCGTCAACTTTATACGAAATAGCATGAAGTCCCAAATAGCTAGCACAGAGCTGAAAGACAAGAACAAAGTAGGAAGACACATACTTCCTGAGTTCAGAAGATACTCTACAGCTACAGAAATCAAAATAACATGGTATTTCTACAACAGACACATACACCAATGCAAAAGAATTGAGAGTCCAGAAATAAATCCACACATCTATGGTAAACTATTTTTGACAAGGATGCTAA